CCCTGGTGTGCCCACCCGGCTGCTCCTGCGGCCCCGCCGGGCTCTGCAGGGGCCTGCGCCCCACTTTCCACCGCCGGCTGCCCGCTGGGGGGTGCAGAGCCCATCCCACTGCCACGGGTGACCAGCTGCAGCACAGCACAGGTGGCCACCCTCCGCGCCGGCAGGGCGTTCGGCCAAACACCGGGTGCCTGTCGTACTCGCTGCTGCTGCCGGTACGTGGCACGCAAGGCCAGAGGCTTCGCCCTTCGTGGGACACATAGAAGCGTGACATGTCCCACGCGCCGCCAGCCGTACAGCATCACGTGCCTGCCGTCCCCAGCGTGCTGGATCCCTCGCTGCCATCGTTTCCCCAGAATAATAACTGTTGGCAACGAACAAAACGCACCCTGCCTGTTAACCAACACACCTGGTGTATGGGTTTCTGTGGCAGACCTGCTCTGTCTCCTCTGTACCACACCCGTTTCATTCACTACATCGTGTCAGCTGTATAATCCACCAGTTATCAGCTGTATAGTCCATTGTGAGCTTCACCAACCGTTGTGACATCTAGATACACCATCTGCGCCCGGGGAACAACGGGTCTGTCCCACAGGACATATCTTCTTGGTCATGTCTCACACCCCCAAACACCCGTTCTGGTTCCATCCTAAACCATCTTCATTCTCCTGCCTGAAGGACAGATGCTTCACGCACCCCTTGCCTCCCGGCATACCCAGAAGTGTTTCAGACAGGCTTTCAAACCGGTGGTTGCATGATAAAGGTGTGCCACCCAAACCTTTCACACATACTTCACTGACACAAAGGGACAGATTTCCACAGTGGTAAATGACAAGCCAGAACGCCCTAAAACCTCCTGCAATGTTTGTTCATTCATACTGCAGTATGATGGACCATAGTATCATATGCTCTACCTTCTGCAAAATTATAGCCAATAGCTAAAATACGATGCCAATATCTGAGCATTTCTCAGACTGAATTTACTGAAGGGTATGTACGTTTGTTCATTTGCTTCTGCAAACAGCCGGGTCCTACGCCCCAAACCTCAGGTGTGATTCAGACAGCTCTTCTGACAACTGTCTGCCTCATGAGTACGAGGCAAGGCTACTCACAGATTATGTCAGTGGCCAAGACTCTCGTTTACCCAGACATCATCTGATGCTCTCCTTTCTGCTTGGGTGGCTCGCCAAGACTTCTGGCTTCTCATGGCCGCAAGCCAGCGCCCGCTTCTGGATTCCAGGTTCCCATCTGCCTGACTCTGTACAACAGGGAAAAATACACTATCACTTGCTTAAATGCCAACGGAAAGTACAACTTGAGAGCAGGAGGCAATTGTAGGCAAGTCCTAGCAGGGTGGACAAATAAATAAATAAATGACACCAAAATGCTGGACAGTATTTTTGTTACTTAGTAACAAAATAATACCTTCTTTGACAGAATTACTACATTCTAAGCCTTCTGGAATAGAGCTCCCACGTGCATCAAGCTCACACTTCTGAAAGCTGCAATTTCAGGGTGTGAGGTGCATGGGTTTGTTTACACAGGGAATTTACTAACAGAAAGCTCCTGCGTTGTCACTGCTCTGCTGAAGATGGGTGCAAGCACTGCACATCATCTAGCATGCACACGTATTTCAGGGTAAGAATTCTTCTGGATTTTTGTATGCTATGTTTAAGATAGTATAAAGCAAAGAGGAGAGAAAATGTCCACATCAGGAATTATATCACTAGTACAACAGTAATATAATAATAGATTTTTTTTCTTTTCTATTCCCATAAGCAGACAAGCTGCAAGGCAGGTGCCTCTATTTCCCCAGCATGGATAGCAGTTTGTGGAAAAGAAAGGACTGCACAGCTGGGAAATTCAGCAATGCATATGTGTTTGGCTATAAGACATCTGAGAGGAGGTTATTCTACAAGTACGGGAGAGACACTCAGCACGGTGACAGTAAGACATCTGATCTGTATCTCAAACCGGTTGGGATATTTCAGCTGGGTCTTATGATTATCAGCAACAATTTATTCCACCAACTACCATTTGCCTTCCTAGCTCTCTCGCATGCAAAACGTAGCCTTGTATCCCTTTCAATACTGTTTGTTGAGCTGCCAGAGTTGTAGTATGTTGAATTTTGGCACAAACAAACTTTGAATATTCAAGTGAGTGCAAGAATGGGAGTCAGCTGAAAGAGCAGGTTGGATAACCTGTATCTCTAGAACAATTTCCCATCATCTAGAAACGCAGGTCAGTTTGGAGAGAGTCACGAGTCTTTTGCCATTTCTTTGAGAGGTGGGACAGGAGAAAGCGTTGATTTATTGCCCAGGATGTGCTCACTCAGGAGGTGCCTGCTGTTGAAGAAGCTTTTGCGTTCTTCTTAAAAGTGTTGTCACTGCAGCTGCGTTGGATGTAGATGTTATACTTCCCTAGAATTAGGCAAGACTTTGTTTTCCCTCTTTTTTCTTCCTATTCTTTTTTGCCAATGAAGGTGAGGTGTCTCCTGTCACCTATAAACCTTTTCTCAGGACAAAATTCTCACTATTTGATAGAGGAAGAATATTGGCAAGTGTCCTCAGTGTCAATGGTCCAGAGTACTAAGTTTCACACTTTAGGAAAGAAATACAATTGTAGTGTCAGCAAAGAACGGATGCCTCTGAACGCTAAACATTCCTTGCACCTTTCTTTTGAGATTTTTCCCATGCACTCTGAAATGCATAATGTAAGGACTGGTCCAAAGCCTTAATGCATGCAAAATCTGATTTCACGGTTGATTCCATGAAACATCTTTTGTCGCTGAGTTCACTAAAAATGCAAACCAGCCGTTTAGTCCTGAAGCCAAAGTCTGCAGGACATTATTCCATTATTCACATCAGAAAGTTTCATATACCGTGTCTGGTTGGGTGTATGAGCTTGCAATGGAAAGATGGTGGAAAGTCCGGTCTGCAAATGTTGCTAAGCGTAATTATTTATCCCAATTTGCCTGTGTCTGCAGTAGCTACTCATTTGGTCAGCTAAGACTCATAGTGATGTTTCTGCTTCCTACTTGGATGAGTGAGTAATAAATAAAAAAATACAAGGCAAGGTAAATGCCTATGTTCACACATGAATGCTCGGGTTCACATATGAACACAGATGGTCCTGTGGAGGGAAACAATTTCTGGATTGTGTTTCAATGAGAAAATGGCCGTATCACTCGTGTTTCACACTATGCAAAATGAAGACTATGCAAAATGGTGCAAAATCATCTTTAATTTCGTACCACCTCAGTTTCTCATTGGTGCTGACTGTTAGACTAATTCCTGTTCTGAGCAAACTACCGCAAAACCGCAGAAAATGGAGAGATTACTGCCAACACAAAGGACTCCCAGCTGCGGGGGTCTGCAGGAGGTTCCAGGTTTCACTGACTCAACCCCAAAAGTATTTCGGCCCAGCACTGGGCATGTCTCCCATCGCGGCTCCGGCCTCACCGCTCGGAGGCCATCACGGACCGGGCACAGCACGGCCCCTCTCCAGAATGCGAGTGCGTCGCACCGACCCCCCCTCTGCCTCCCGAATGACCCCCCCCATCCACGGCTGCCCCCCACGCCGGGGCTCCCCGTGC